GCAGTGCTGTATTGTGTGTGTTGGTGTTGTATATTACACTACAGAAAGCTTGTAATAAACTGCAGCACATTTACTGCAGTTTTACACACTTATTCCTCCAGATATTATTGATTATACATTATATTATTACTCAAATGTCTATAAAAGTCACTTTGTTAAACTGTAGAGTTGAATTTACAACATCAGAAGTGGACAGAGCAGATCAACATCCCATAATGCAGTTCAGCACCACACATAAACACTAAACACAGAATACAGAAGCTGCTCACTACTGGATATCGTCTACAGTGTGTGTGTGTGTGTGTGTGTGTGTGTGTGTGTGTGTGTGTGTGTGTGTGTGTGTGTGTGTGTGTGTGTGTGTGTGTGATTAATATCAATGTTTTGAAATCCAGCATTCATCTTTATTGATTGTCTCCCTGCTCTGTCTGTAACTGAACTGCTGTATATGTCATGCGTGCAGACGCTGCTGTAGCTGATCTTCTGCAGTTCAGTCTGTTGTGTTGTGAATAGATAAGCTGAAGTGCTGTGATATTTAGATTTTTCTGTATCATTAAATGCAGTTGTAATCCTGCATTCATATTTATTCCTTTTATAGGGCATTCGATCTTTAAACAGCATTCACATCATAACAGTCTCAATTCTGTTGTTTATTAATATTGTTATTTGCATGAACTATTGCACATTACAGTGTGGAGGCATATATAATAAATGATCTTTAGCTATAAATGAGCTGAAGGTTGTCAGTCTTTGATTTCTGTTTTTTAGTGCATCATTAAATGCAAAGGTCATTTTAAAATACCGCATTCATATTCATAATTGATCTATTGTATATTTTAATATGCATGCAGACGCTGCTATAAAGGATCTTTAGTTCCTGATTATTTGCTCTTATATACAGTTGAAGTCAGAATTATTCGCCCCCTTTTATTTGTTTGTTCTTGTTTAAATATTTCCCGAATGATGTTTCTCAGATTGAGGAAATGTTCACAGTGTGTCTGATAATATTTGTTCTTCTGGGGAAAGTCTGATTTGATTTATTTCCCTTTTAAGATCAATATTATTAGCCCCATGTGTTGAAGAACAAATCTCTCTGTTAAACAGAAATTGGGGGGGAAAATAAACAGGGGGGCAAATAATTCTGACTACAATTGTATATATGGATATATTATACTATGCATATCTCCTCTGTTGTGTTGTAGATAGACGAGCTGAAGTGCTGTGGTCGTTTGATTTTTTCTTTGCATTATTAAACGCAAATGTAATCTGCATATTAAATTTTGCATTCATATTCATTATAGATGTTGTTATATCTTTAAACGTGCAGCTTATAAACAGGCTTCAGCATTCACAACACAAGTCTCAATTTTATTTGAGTTAGCGAAGGCATGTTACAGTGTGCATGCAGATGCTGCTATAAATGATCTGTTCAGGATGATCTGTTGTGTTGTAAATAAATGAGCTGAAGGATGTTAATGTTTGATCAGGTTTCTGTGCATCATTAAATGCGATGTTAATTTTATAACTCTATATTGGTTATGAGTGCACTGTAATTGATCTATTGTATATTGTACTACGCATGCAGATGCTGCTATAACGGATCTCTGCTGATTATTTGCGTGCTGTTGTGTATAATGTCGCTGTCGTCTGCTGGTTTCTCGTCTCTGTGGTGTTCAGAAGCTCACAGACCATCTGAAGCTGAGTTTAAAGACGGAAACCACAGCGCTGCGTATAGTTTCAGGCAGAGAGAAGCCTCATATAAAGATCTCTGATTACGCAGACGCTCATGCTGAAACTGCCATGATTCATTTAATCAATGGAAACTTTATACATCTCTGTATTTATAAGCCCTCGTAATCTTCCAAAGCTCTGAGTTTCTGTTTTTGATGAAACCCAGAGGAAAACATTCAAATATTGATGTGAACCAAACAACGTCAGACATTATTCAGCGCATCAGCAGTTTAAGACTCAACGCTTTACATAATGCTCCATTAGATCGTGCATTAATTAACCGTCGTTTAATATTTACAAGTGTTAGACATTATTCAGTGTATCGGCAGCTTCAACACAACACTATAGATGTGCATTAAACTAAAACATCATTGGCTTTGAATATTAAAATTTAAATAAAAAACATGTTTTGAAATAAACAGTTCACAAATTTTATACATTTATTAATAAAAAGCTTATATTTCACTGTATTATTATTATTATTATACTTGAATGTGTTTTGGCTCATTTCAATAAAAAGGTTTAAAATGTACTAAAATTAATAATAAATAATCTCATTATTATATTTATTATTATTATAATGCTAAAATGTGTCCTGGTTCACTTTAATAAAATTAAGCTGTAAAACTGCATTAAAATTAATAACAAAAAGCCTATTATTATATTTCATACTAGTTATTATTATACTATTGTGTTTTGGCTCATTTAAATAAAATGGTTTAAAATGTAGTCAAATTAATAATTATAAGCCCATTAATATATTTTGTATTAT